TCCTCGCTAAGCTCACGATTATGGCAAAATAGTTGCCGGAAACCGCAGACGACACTCGTCGCTAGTTCTGGCAAAACGGCCGATACAATCTTTTTTCGCATTTCCCCGCTCGCTGTCAAGGACAAGGGGGTTCGCTTCAACCAGCAAAACATGGCCGCCGACGCCTGTTTATTGAGCAGTCATGCCTGTCGCCATCTCACTCGCTGGCGTCACGGGCGATAATATCAGGCACAAAGGGGCACACCAACCGGCAGCATTATCCCCAAATACTCGAGCCTCGCGTAAATACAGAGTGTAAACGCTGTCGCCATGTTATCGTAGTAAGACCGCCCCCCCCCCCCCCCACCTCCCCCAACGGGGGACTGCAGTACGCGAAGGCGTACTAACACAACGGCGACGATATCGACATCGCGGGCTCCGAATTTTCCCATAGTTCTACTCCACGGGCATTTCTCGAAATGCTTGATATTGTGTACGCCCACCTGGAAGGATTTCAGGCGCGTAGTTAAGATAAGGTGGTTCTCCGCGGCAAAAGAAAGCAATTTCACAAAAGCTTAAAAGCGGCGGCGACGCGTGTGCGGTGAACGCTTGTAGTTTTGGTGTAGACAGGGTGTGTGTGTTCTCGTTGTTGACACCAGCCGGCGATAAGGCATTGCAGGCGGTAGCTCAGTACAGCAAGGGCTAATCCGAGTGACCATCAACGTAACCCCACCGCCAACCCCTCGCGAACCGGTCGCCGACATGGCTCAGGCTGTGTCATGAACCACGTGGTAGAAGCTCGGGTGCTTTCATATCAGCGCGTGGAGGGACGACAGTGCGATTCCGGAAAGTCTTTTTCGAAGGCCGCTGACCACAATTTTTTGTCTGGAGACTTTCCCTCTTTCTTCCTTTGACGTGGATCAAGCTTTGCCGACAGCCTCAGTTGTGACATCTCTTTTCAAATGTACGTTTGCAGTGAGTGAGCTCCTCAGCCTCGGACTTGTCACTTGTGCACCCAGTAGTTCTTTCACTTGGCAATTATATGCCATCAGTTGGGGTTTAATTTCTATTATTTATGTATACATTATGAAGACGTCGTGGAGCTCCGAACGAGTGTTTTGTGCAGATTACTTTTGCAAACACAAAAACATTATACCAAAGCAGCGGAATTTTCGAAGTGTTGGCGAGTTGGACCTAAACTCGTTGAAGCAAATTCTTCCACCTGACTGTTCCACCAAAGTGAGTGCGACGGACTACCTGTGATACCATTGCTTCATGCACATCACTAAGGAGATCTCGATGCGAAGCTCAGAGCAGTGCCCTGACATATTTGTGCCAGCTGAAGAAGCAATTGAAGATCTAAATCGCAGCATACTACCTACAGATGTGTCGCCGCTGAGACAACCAAGCGTCGTAAGAAGTCGGGACAGGCCTGCCTATGTCAAGAGAAAGCAGACAGAACTGGAGCAGGTTGCTGTCAAGAATATACGCTCAAGGCTACGTATTGCGTACGACAGGGACGCACCATCGGGGTCGTCCGAACCAACATGCTCCACATGCACTGAGTGGGTGGACAACTTTCGGCTGCAGGCCTTTGAAACCGCCACCTCTCTCCGGGAACGTTGTCAACTGCTTACACTCCTGCCGTCAACACTGACGAAGAATGAGGTTCAAAAGATGATTCCACAGGCCTCAATGTACCTCATCAGTAAATCCCGAAAACTCAAGGAAAAGCATGGCGTGTGGTATGAGCCGGATCCTTACACGAGGTGCAAGGTGAGCCCTGAGAACCTGTCTGCTGCCCTAGAGTACTTCACGAAAGACGAGCTACAATGTTCGCGCCAAAGTCCCAACCAGAAGGACGTCATCTCTGTCATGCTCAACGGAGAGAAAACGTTCGTGCCAAAGCGCTTCATGACACGCTCAATACGAGAGGCCTTCCGTATATACAAAGACAAGCATCCCGATTCCGGCGTTGGGCTAACGAAATTTTATTCGTTGCGCCCTAGATGGGTCCAATGTATTCCACACCAGGAAGTGTGCGTTTGTGTGCGCTGCGCCAATTATTATCTTTGTATTGCCGCTCTAGAGAACGTTACAGGCTCAACATTCAACACTGGTGAAATGAACTCGGCATTTCTGTGCGACCCAGCAACAGAACTGTGCCTTCAAGGAGACTGTGATCACTGCCAAAAAGGCCAGTTTCTTACACTCCAGGAACTTGATATCCCGGAGGATGAAGAGATTGTGCTTGCAACATGGGAGTCCGGCGACCTTGTGAAAAAAACTTTGGAACCTGAGACTTTCCTAAAAGTCATCCAAGTGACGGTTGGAAGTTGGGTACTTCACAACCATATCCGGCAAACGCAAGGTAAAGCGATCTACGATGAAAAACAGTGCATGCAACGCGGGAGCATTGTCTTTCATTTTGACTTTGCTGAAAACTGGACCATCGTGCTTCCTGACGAAGTGCAAGCATATCACTGAAAAAAAAGCAAGTTTCGATATTTACATGTGTAGTGACGACAAGAAAATCTACAAACAGCTTTGCCATCATCAGTGAGGACCTGTGTCACGACGCCGCTCACGCTTGCTTGGCTCTAGAAAAAGTGAAGGAGTGGGTTGAAGACAACATTGCGGTATACTCGTACGTGACGTACGTTAGTGACGGCGCCGCCAGTCATTTCAAGAATCGCTACCAGCTTCACCAATTTGCAAAGGACGATGGCCCACAAGCCCAGTGGTTATTTTCTGCATCTGGACATGGGAAAAATGCATGTGACGGAGTTGGCGGACTCGTGAAGCACCAGGCCACGCTGAACAACCTGAGAGAACGTTCAGTAAGCGATATTCAGACGGCCAGGACAATGGTGAGCGTTCTATCAAAGAAACTGAAAGGCGTGCATCTGGTATATCTGGACGAAAATGAGGTTGTTCGGTATCATGAACAAAAAAAAGAAGAGTGGCTGACGGTGCGCGCCTTCCCTGGCATTCAGTCTTGGCACGCGTGGCGGCTCAGCAAGTCATCAACAGAAGGGACCTGTGACGTATATGTAGCACGGACAGTCGGATCTGCTTGGAAGCAACTTTATTAAATGGGTACAGCGAGGAAAACCTTAGCGTAAAGTGCCGAATTTGATTTCCCAAGGACTGCTCATTTTGAATGCAGGGACATCTTATTTATCACATTTTTCTTCACGGGGTATTTAACCTACTGTTTTTGTTGGTGGTTACTAATAATTTTTATCTGATCACTATAAAAAAAATCCCAAAATGTTATCCTCGAGCAGGATAAAATATATCGGCTTGCCACGATTCATTCATACACCGAGAGCATCGAAGCTGCTCCAGTTAGGCACTATGGCATCCGTCACTTGAAATTGTTTGTAATCGTAAATACACAGCCAACCTAAATATCTTACTATTATATCTTTGTTTTTGTGTGTGGAAGTAAAGTTATTTATTTTACTCTAGATGTAAAATATACCGGAAGGTACAACTTCACACTGCATCATCTTTTCTCAAATCATTACTCTCTAATATGATACCACTTTGTACGCTTATGTAAAATGCTGTATATAGTTTCTCCTCCCTTTTACTGTGTGACCGATCGCTCTTTTTATCATTGACCTCATCTGAATAAATGTATATAAAAGATTTATGCAAGTTTCATGAAACTGGAACTCAGAGTCACTTCTTGTATAGGACACTGCTAAGTGTAGGCTTTGAGAAAGGACCCTACTTTGGGGAGTTGTTTCTTCTTTCACAGTGCAATGATGCAACATGTTTTTAATAGAAATGAATGCCGAAATAGAGTATAACAGGGTACCCAAATTTTAAAAAAATCGAAGGTGGTGTTTTTTTTTTATTCGCATTGGAATTTTTCTTTGTTTGATTTTTTCCCATGTTTGCCTAAATATATTGTAACTATTGTGTCACTCAGATACCTTATTTATTTTTTCAATAATAGCCATATATTAGTAAAATAATGTCGGCAAGTTATGTAATAATGATTAAATTATTTCATGAGATACAGATTTCCAAAGTTTGCCATTTGTCGTTCGAGCAGGCATGTTTGGCAATTTTTAGGAAACTAAATAAATTTTTAATAAATATTATTACTTTATATTACAAGCAAGTTGTACCCATAGTTTGTTTGTAAAAAGTTATAAAATTCTCCTAATTTTATTGTTTTAAATATTCACTTTCAAACTTGCCCCCTCCATCAGTGCGCGTTATTGCAACTGTCCACCTCTCCCTGCCTTACGATTTTTCTTGTCTCCAAATTTTTTTTCTGGTCAAAACTAAGTGTGGATTCGTTTATACCAGACACTAGACAATGTCATATAAAAACATCAGTTGATTTAAAAATGTCGACCAGCCACCCTTTGGTCGATCTTATCTGAAATCACCCTAGACTGCATTCACCATGGTTTGTCATTTATAACCGCTGCGCGAAATTCTAACGTATCTCTTCGAGAATCAGAGTAGCGACAACGGCGATTTCGGCCCATGTTTGTGTTTTTGTTTTTTTTTACTGTGGACGCGCATATAATGGCAACATTTATTATTAACTATAGAAATGTAGACGCATCAATTTTAGTGGCTAAATGTCTGTAACACAAAAAAAGAAAACGGTGTTTTTAAGAGTGGTAACAAAGTTGTCAAGTGGTGGTGAAGAGACCGAGTTTTATGGCATCGCACACCATAGGTATGGTTGATGCGCTTGAGAGCGGGCACAATTGGTTCAAAGGTTCTTTATTGTTCGCACAGATTTTTTGGGATATTTGTTTTGTATTAGTACAAAAACAATTATATGTACTGTTTGAGAAACAACTTTTAAATCAATTGTTAAAGGGATTTTTTCTCGATGCACGGATGCGATAAATCTTATTCTCTCCAGCCCATTTATAAGAAATCATGTTAGGCTGCACCAATTCTCGGCATCAGAAGCTACGAAAGCATGTGCAGTAGCGATAATTTTATTGAAGAAATAAAAATGGGCGACCGTCTTTGGTCCTTCAGGTGAAACACACGCTGTCTATGTTGTAGTTTTTCTGAAAACAAAGAATGAAATTTTTTTTTAGTATTACTCGTTTTTATTATTGAGACAAGAGATCTGTGGCATCTATACGCGCCAAACTTGCAAGACTTGTGGACTGAAATATGTAGTAAAATTACCAGAAAATTACCGGCGCGTGGTGTTTCTGAGTACGCCACGTAAAGGAAGCGACCGGAGCGGCCCAGCTTAACACATGCTTATCTGAGCCTTTTGCCTGGCGGTAACATGATATGGCGCGGCGGAGCCGGCGCCTCTCCTCACGGCATTGGAGCCGCCGCAGCGGAGTGCCTGTGGAGCGCGGCCGGACCTCACGGCAGGCGCCCGTGAGGCGACCGGCAAACAGGGCGCACCACACTAAGAAGACCTCGATCGTATGCGCTTTGCTTAGTGTGATGCCAAATGACTGAATGAAGTGTGATCGCGCGAACGCAACGACTGGAACAACCGAAACGACCGTTGCAAGTGTCAACAACCATCAGTAGCCATAGCGACGGAGGGACGCACGCACGTGTCGTTCCCGACGCAAGGAGTTGGAGCGAGCCCAACCGGCCCAACTCTCCCCGCTGCGTTGGAAACAACCGAAACAACCGGAACGACAGACAAATCACAGGTCGAGCAGAACTCGGTCGCGCGCGTTGCATGCCGGTTGTGCCAGTCGTGGTCCGGCTCCTTCTATCTGCCAACATGGCGTCGGTGTTGACCGTGGATGTGGATGGCGTGGTGGAAGCTCATCGTTCCGCGTAAAAGCGCTATCCTTGACAGTTAATTTTTGTCGTGTGTCGCTATGATAACCCAGCACGTTCTAGAAGGGAAGATCCACCTACTCGTGCGGCGATGTCGTGGCTGCACTCTCAAGACAGCAGAAACGCCTGTGCCGTTGCGTTTGTTTACTTCGACTACAGTGTTGGTCTCTAAGCATTTGTGTCCTTGAACATCGCCCGGATTTCTTTTTTAGCGCATTCCATGCGTGTGCTCAAGTTCAAGATATTACTGGTGCGTACCGTATAAAGAATGCGAATTTTGTGCGTTTTCATCACCGGAGAAAGTGATTACTGTTAGCAATCCTGAACGCTCGCAACGTCTATCTGATACGTTGCTATATCGCTGCTAAGACTACAACGTCTTTTATAATCATTGAAAAGGCGTGTGGCGAGATTTGTACTATTAGGAAAATCATGTATTAAAGTTGTGATGGTGCAAGACGGCGTAATGCATCTTTTTCTTTTCTTCTTTTAATCCACTCTAGCCTGCAAGCCTATCGTGAAAAAAAAAAAGAAGCTTTAGGTTATAAAAAAATGTCTGTCTATTTTTTCATTGAGTGGCAGTGCGTCCTCTTCTTTTTAGAGGTACCGCTGAAACAGCTGATGGCGACGTAGAAGCGGTCGCTGTGCTGACGACCCGCTGCGCTTGTTGCAGGAGTGTGTACGCGCGGCGCAGAGCGGTCGTTCCGGTCCAGGGCCAGCCCTGGGAGTGGGCGACCTGGGCGGTCGCCCAGGGTGCCGTCAAAAGGGGGGCGCCGCCGCGCCTCCCTTTTGAATATTTGTTTCCTAGATGTCTGATTTGAACACGGCGTTAGGCCCGACGATATATGCTCAATCGCCGTTGCTTTTTGCAAATGCGGTTCTCGCCTGACAGAACACTCGTGTTGGGCCACTACTTGCATGTTTACTAACAACATGATGTCGTCCCTAGTAGATACGGGCGTATAAAAACTGACCAGGGGGGGGGGGGGGGGGGGGTCGTCACGGCTGGAGCTCGCCCAGGGCACTTAAAAATGTTCCGGTCGCTCCGGTCACAATGGACGCAATCTTAGATAACGCGCTCGTTGTAGTTTTCTGAACCAGCCGTAAGACACGACCATGTAATGGTTGCATTGAACCTAAAGTGGCAGTAAACCTCTGTTCAAACATGCACGACGCATATGGTCGATTACAATTTACAAGTGTCAAGCGTGTGTCAGCATCTCTCTACGCGCGGTAACTTAGCGCATAAAATACTTACATTAAAAAAAATGGCAACAGAAAATTTATGTTTACGCTTTCAGTGCCCTATCAAAACGATAGGAATAATTTTAGATGTATTTTTATTATTGTTTTATTTTAAATATTTACCAAAGAAATTTTGCCAGTTTCGAGCCCGCGAGAAATGTCAGAGAGCGTAATGACGCATAACCGAAACGCGACCGAAAAATATTCGATTTTGCTCGCAAAAAGGCGTCGCTCAAACATGAGAGCTACAAGCCTATACCGCAAGGCAGCGGCGACGTGCTGCTTCGGGACAGTCGACTTTTAGCCTCAGGCGCAAGATGTGTCCTACTATCATTTTTAGTTGGCAGCCAGATGTTCGCCTCATTAAACATTTATATCAGGTTCTACATTCCTCAGTTTGTTTTATTCGTCGCATCATAATGTGTTAATTAACAGAACCAATTTTAAATAAAAACATTTTCGCGCAGTTTTTAGCAAAAAAACAAAAAACTATCTACGAATCAGCTTTGATGCCTGCCTTTTTTATCACTGCGTTCTCTCGGAGGTGGTGGTAACAACGTATTCGCCCGTTCTCAGTCTTAACAGTAGCGCTTAAGAATTTATCACCCAGCAAATAAGCGCTGGGGGGTCTTGGGACAATGTTTCATGATCAAAATATTAAAACAAACTCTAGGATAACAATTTCGTTTATGATATTCACAAGTATTAACGAACGAATGTACGCCAATATCTGACTGGAGTAACGTTCATACAGAATACCGTTGAATTTTCGTTTTTCGGAATATTGAGCCACTTTTTTTAGACACAAAACCGTAACAAATATTAGATTTCAAACTACGCTTAAATTTACCATATTAGGCTGATATCACGCGACATTGGCAGCACGTGTACCGAAAGCGCGCTCTGCAGAACCCAGGGATCTTGGGTTCATTCCCCACCATGCCCCTTTCGATCTGGATGACCATCGTACCGGCGTGCGGTCGTGTATCCCTACTGCGTGATGCGCGTTAAAGACCCCAGGCTAGCGGTAGTACTGCACTGGCTGAAGTTCTCATCTACAGCAGAAACACCAGACGCACATTGAGGATGACTAGCTTCCCGCTGTAAAAACATACAAACAACACAATGATTTAATTATAACTGAGCAAGCAAGCTGCTTTTTATTTGATTGCACGAGCACCCTGAGATGTTTGGATTGTAATATGTAATTTAACGTATACTCTAATTGGCAGAGTGGCATAACAATTCACATCCTTAGTTTTTTTTTATTTCTTTAAGTAAACACCGCGCATTGTATTTTCAATGTGACCACTATGACATCGCAGCCTCCAAAAGAAATACTTGAATCTGGGCCGGCTTGTTCGAAGCAGAGTCTCAGTTGAGACTGCTCAATGAAAGCGCTGTCAAGGCTAGCGCTCGAGCTTAAGCCGAGTCTCAGACGCTCGCGCGCCCGAGCCTTGGCAGCGCTTTCTTTGAGCAGTCTCAACTGAGACACTTCTTCTAGCAAGCCGGCCCAGGTATCCAGCAATGGCGCGCTGAAGTAAATAAAATGCGTTTGTTCATAAAAAAATATATTAATAATATTATATATTTTTATTTATCGAGCTGTAGAATAAGCGTGAAAACCGAAGCACTGTTAAAGCTGCAGAAAACTGCAGATTACGAGAAAACGCTAGGATTACCTGATTATACGTAAAATTCAGATTTCCTTTATTGGCATGGTATACAAGTCTGTTCATTATTTCTTCAATGTTCACTTCCGTTTTTGCCTCCGATTTCCCACTTAGGTCGATGAAATTTCCGAGAAGTTCGAACTCGATGAGACTGTTATTTTGCTGTTGAGTCTGTAAGAAGTTCCTTTTTTTGGTAATTTTACAAGAAAATCACTTGAAACATTTATCACAGATGAAAAATGTATTAACCCAGCTTATATTCACTCTGAATAATTCAGAGACTACTTCACACCTTAAAGGGGTTAGGACATGCAAATTAAACAGGTAGATTACTCCTTAAATGGCACGCTCATAGGTTACTCAATATATGCACCAGGTTTCATAATTTGAGTGTTCTAGTAATTGGAATAATCATTTTACGAATGTTGATAATTTTCGTCTGGCGACCAGCCAACGTTGCTCAATTTAGTCACACCATGGTGCCCATATACCACGTTATCGAACGCCCTTTCAGTCTAGGCGCCCACATCCTGATGCAGCTCGCCTCGCCATGGTACGATCGCACACTCTCACGCTATTCGAGTACTTCAATGTATACTCGCTCCGTCCCCTTGCCTTTTGCTCTTTCACTCTGCACGGACGTGCGCGACCGTCGAGGCCGATGGAGAGTTTGCACGTGACGATCTTGTCGTCGTCGCTGGAGTTGGTCGCGAGCCGGTTGAAGTCAGAATGTCCAGCTTCTAAGATATATTGATTACATCACTCTCATCGTTGCTGCGATCAGTGTCGAAGACTCTGACAAAGCGGGTGATGATGGAGACGTCCCTGTTTGGAAACCGCGTGCTCGATCAAAGCTGAATGCTGGGCTAGTTGGTATTGGTCTTGGGTAGCCAAAGGCATAATAGCGCTTTTTTGAACGAGGACAAAAGAAAGAAAGACAAGACAGACACGAGCGCTGACTGCAACTCTTTAATATACATGGAAATGAGGCATATATACACGCTTCGATCCTATCAATCAGCCAACCCCAGGCCTTGCCGCCATTTGCACGAACTGCACCTCCTTATCGAAAAGGTCGATAGATGCAACGCTGACACACCCCAGCCCTGCCCTTATTATCTCGTCCGCTTCGATAATATCCCTAACAGTTCTATTTTTATGTTTAGCTAGTACTGAGCTTGAGTCCAACAAAGGTTTGCACCCGCAGTCAGTCAAAAACTATCGGGATGGCCACCTTTCAATGCATTGCCATGACTGCGGGTGCAAACCTTTGTTCGACTCACGCTCAGTACTAGCTAAACATAAAAATAGAACTGTTAGGGAGATTATCGAAGCGGACGAGATAATAAGGGCAGGGCTGGGGTGTGTCAGCGTTGCATCTATCGACCTTTTCGATAAGGAGGTGCAGTTCATGCAAATGGCGGCAAGGCCTGGGGTTGGCTGATTGATAGGATCGAAGCGTGTATATATTCCTCATTTCCATGTTGATTAAATAGTTGCAGTCAGCGCTCGTGTCTGTCTCGTCTTTCTTTCTTTTGTCCTCGTCCAAAAAAGCGCTACCATGCCTTTGGCTACCCAAGACGCGTGCTCGAAGTATGAACGGTAAACGTGGAAGCTGAAGCGCGAGATGCCGAGAGAGCCAAGTCGGCGAGTTCGTGCAAGGGGACTCCGCGTGTTGAGCAGGTGACTTTACGGACCCAACAAAACACGGCAGCATTTTCGCATGGGGCGGGTTCGAGGGTCCCGCATATAAATCCATTTAACCACGAAACAATCGCATCATTTTTCACACAGATTTAGCAGGATTATGGGAACATACAATGGGTCCTGGCCTGTGTGTGATATTTTATTTTCGGTGTGTCCTATCTCTTTAAATCCTTTAAAACTTTAGAAGGCTGCTTAATTCTTAAGACGAGTGGTGTTTTTTTTTTTTTTGTTCTTTAGCAGAATTGTATTTATTTGTCAAAAATTATGAAAGATTGCGGTAACACTTGTGGGCACCCTGGCTGCCTGGCGACACAGAGCTGCAGACCAGGATGTTTATACGTCAATCAACCTAGGTCACGTTCTCCGCGAAGTGCCCAAGTGCAATGGGATATACCAGAGAGTTGAGACAAATTGAACTTGAACACTTGGTGATACAAGATAAAATTTCCATAAAGGTCATCGCAAAATATGCAATAGCTGTCAATATAAAAAGAAAAAAAAGAAAAGAAAACTACATCCTGTTGGACCACTGGGCATTGTCATTCTTCGAGGAAGTGCAATACACTTTTATCTAACAATCATGTTCTTAGGTGTTAAAAGATGCCAAATTATTTTATTTTTGCCACAAACTGTAAGCACTAACATTTTGATAAGCATACAGCTTTTCGAGCTGTTTCTTTTTTCTTTTTGTTGAGGTGGAGGAAGCTAATGAGGGAGGTCGGGAGATTGAAGTAAACAAATTGAAGGTGCGGAAAAAACAAACGCACTTAAAATAGGTGGCGGCATTCCTTTCCGTCATAAGCGTTTCTGAGAGTGTTAAAATATTTAGTTCTGGATGTAAGGTTTCTCTTTTATTTACAAGACAATGAGGATATATCTTGTAAACGAAGTCATTGTGTTGCCCAGAATAAACACAGGCGGCGTCTCAGTTTGGCTGGGCTAGGGGTGTTCGTCTGGAGTCTTCTTCACGCCGTAGCTATCTTCTCTTCGAGCGAGAGGTGTGCCGATGGGTAGCGCAGCCGCTCGCTCGCAAAGTGATCCAGAATGTCACGAAAGGTCACCAGTCTGTCTCCTCCCGACCACGGTTCGTTGGAGGGTTCCGACGTTATGCCGGCGCGGCGAGTCAAACCTCGAGCCGCATCGTTTGCTTCCTCGTTTCCAGGAAGTGACGAGTCACTGTCGAAAATTGAAGCTCATCTGGACACCAGCACGGTGTCCAGATGAGCTTTACCATGTGGTGTGTTGCGAGGTCACCAAGCACGCGACGCGTCACCGACAAGATCCTCTTCTTAGTAAAGCTGCATATCGCCGTCTGCGAGCCGCTAACGACGATCTTGACTTGCTGAGTCCTAATGGCCAAGGCTATGACCACTTCCTCCTCCACTTCTGGTTCCGGCGTCCTGACACTGCAGCTTGCGACGATCTTGCCCTGCTTGTCGACCACGGCGGCCGCCATGGCTTCGCGACCCTCGCCGTACCTCGCCGCGTCCACGTAGACGACACCTTCTGCGTTCCTGAGGTGCTTCCGCAGGGTCCTGGTCCTGGCCGCTCTTCGCTCCTCATCATGCTGAGGATGCATGTGCTGCGGTAGGAGAGGAATGTCCAACACCTCTCTGGCCTTCTGGGGGCGTCCGTCTTTTCCCTGTTCTGGGATTCGTAGCCGACTCCAGGGCTCTTGAAGATGTCTCTTCCTGTCGCGCTCTTCGTGAGTCGCTCGAGTTGCGACACCCGTTGTGGTTCGACGATCTCTTCGATGGAATTGTGAAGGCCGAGCGCCGCCAGTTTCTCGTTGGACGCCGAGTACGGGATGCTGAGTGTTTGCTTGAAAGCCTTTCTGACGAGACAGTCTAACTTGTTCTTTTCTGCAACCCCGAGCATCAGGAAAGAGACCACGTATGCAAGCCGGCTCATGTCGAAAGCGCGGACAAGGCGCACGAGATTTTTCCTTTTCATCCCGAAGTTTCTACCCGAGATGCGTGCGATGAGTCTGATGATCTGGTGCGTGGACTCCTTCAGCGACTCTAAAATTTCGCTGTTGTGGCCATCCGCCTGCACCCGCAGGCCTAGTACCCTGATGTTCTTTCCCGTCGGAATGCGCAGCCCGTGGGAGTGCAGCTCGATGTCGGACGGCAGCTGTCTCGAACAGGCCGGCTTGAGGAGCAGAAGCTCCGACTTGTGCGGGGAGCACGACAGACCCCGCGGGGTGATGTAGTCTTCCACGACTCGGGACGCTTCCTGTAACCTGTTCTGAATGTAGCCATCACTGCCGCCGGTCATTCATAGCGTGTTGTCGTTGGGGTACATGCTGTGATGGAGTCCTTCGATCTTACAGAGCCGCGCAGGTAGTCCGATCATGGCCACGTTGAACAAGTACGGCGAGAGGACCGACCCTTGTGGCATTCCTCACCTGCCGAGCTTAATTTCTTCCGATGTGACGCCGCCGATGGAGATCATCGCCGTCCTGTCGCTGAAGAAATCGTGGATGTACTTATACGTGCGTCGACCCACGCCCAGCCTCTCTAAGTTTTCGAGCGCGGCGTCGTGCCGTATGTTGTCGAAGACCTTCGTGAGGTCCAAGCTCAGTATCACGCGGGAGTCGAGGTGCGAGCTCTTTTCTCCATCGATTATCCAGTGTTTCAGCTGGAGCTCTACGTCTTGGGTGGAAAGGAACGGCCTGAATCCGACCATGGTGTGCGGGAACCACTCGTTGTCTTCCATGAAGCCGTTGATCCTTCTGAAGATGACCTGTTACATCAACTTCCCGACGCATAGCGTAAGCGAGATTGGGCGGAACGCGTCAAGCTGAGGCCTTTTCCACGGCTTCGGAATCAAGACCACCTTGGCCGTCTTCCATTGACGTGGGATCGAGCCCCTGCTCCAGCTTGCGTTCATATACTTCGTTATACCTGCAACGGCCTCGTCGCTGAGGTGACGCAGCATCTTATTGGTGACGCCATCTGGACCCGGAGCCGACTTCGTCTTCAGTTCTCTCAAGGTCTGAAACACCTCGACTTCCGTGATGTCTGCGTCGAGCGCGTCGTTTTTCGCAGCGTTGTACTCCGTCGGTTGGCGTGGCAGGTTGTCGCCTATGTACTGCTTCCGAATTTCTTCGACGAGGTCGTCTTCGCCACCCTCGTGCCTCCGTATGATCTCGCACAATTTGTTTTGTTGAGCCGTCTTGCGGCCCTCCGGATTAAGTAGGTGCCGTAAGATGTTCCAGGCCTTGGGAACGTTTGGTTGGCCGTCGAACCCGTCGCACGTGTCTTGCCACTGTTGGCGTGTAATGCAGTCCGCGTGGCTCTCTATCTCCCTGCTAATTTCAGCGATTCTTCTTCTGAGGCCTCGATTGCTTCTCCGCGAGCGCAGCCTTTCCTGCATGCCAGCTTTGGTCTCCCACAGGTGTAAGAGCCGGCTGTCCGCAGCTACTACGTCCACTTCCTCTGGGATTGTCTTGGTCGACCGCTCAGAACTGGCTAGCAGGCTCTCCGTCCATCCTCCCATGTCGTGCACCTCTTCCATCTTATACTCGCCGAGGAGTTCTTGAAACTTGGTCCACTCCGTGATCCTGCATTTTTTGCCCTTCGGCTTCCCAGGCCCGGCCCTGAGTGTCGCCTTCAGGATGTAATGGTCGCTTCCCAAGTCTTCCACGTGTTCTCCTACGTCGCGTCCTTCACGAGGTGGACAAACGTGAGATCGGGAGTGGTAACAATCTATTGGACGTCTACTCGCCTGGTTGGGTGTTCCAGATCCATGGTCAGGGATAGTCCGCATCCGTAAAAGTCGAGCAACAAGTTTTTGCCCTCGACTTGTTCCCGCTGGTAGCCCCGGTCCGTATGTGGAGCGTTGAAGTCGCCGACGACTATTTGTGCCTAACATCTGGCTATGTTCAGAGTCGCTTGAAAGAGGGAAGCGAACCTGTGCCGCTTTGCTGGGCTACTATAGACGTTCAGCAAAAATAAGCTGCGTTGATCCTTTTTCTTCCCCGAAATTATTTCGACCAGCACGTGTTCTACCGTTGAGAAACCCGTGTCGTGCACGATGACCGGCACGTTCCTTTTTGAGCAACGTTTCCACTTGGTATTGTCTTTCGCGTCGGTGCCGTAGGACTTGTAACCGGATAATTTGGCCAGCTGTCTCGCTGCCTGCGAAGCTATCACGTTCTATTTGTCGGTCATTTCGTTTTTGTTCACGGCAGGCGTCCGGCTCCTCGATCGAGACCGCTTCGTCGGAAGATTCGGGAAATCTTCTTCCTTAAACTTCCACACCTCCTTCTTTTTTTCCCACTGCCGTTGCTGTATTATTTACGGCGTATTATGTACGTTGCTGTATTATGTACGTTGCTAGCATATCTTGTCACCCGCGGGGTGGGCCTTACCGCAGATACCGCATGACAGTGAACACGCGTGGCCATCGGCCGGGTTCGGAGTGCCGCAATCCTTGCACCTCCTCTCTGTCGGCCGCTGGCACATGTCAGCGCAATGACCGAAACTTCCGCACGTGCCGCAGACTTCAACCTTCTTCTTGTGCAAATGGGACCGGTATTCTACGTTGCCGTACATTATCCAGTAGGGAACATTCTGGCCCTTGAACAACACGACCGCCGATTTGGAGCGACCCATGCACCTAGCGTGGGCCACGCTAGGGTTCCTCGCATTGACTAGGTTACCGAGAATGTCTTGCTCTTTGTCTTCGTCTGGAACACTGTGAATGACCCCTTAACGGCGTTTTCCGGCAGAGTCGCATACGCAACCACCTCGTAAGCTTTCCCCTTGACCCTTACTTCGTTGACTTTCTCGTACTTGAGAGCATTTTCAAGCACCGGATTGCTCACGATGAGTGTTCTGCTGGTCGTTGAAACGAAAAGCATCGCGTTCTGCCTCTGCCGGCGTGAGTTGCGCCTCAAGCTGAATGCTGCGCTGGATGACGATTCAAACTTCTTCGGAAACGTTCAGTCCACCCCGAAGTCGAAAAACGACGTTCACATCGGTTTCCGGGAGCTTCGGAGGCCTCGCAGTCTTGTTTGGTCGCGTCCGGCTTTTCCGCCCGTTTTGTTTTCCGCCAATAGTACGTTTCGGCGGGAAATCCGCGGTTGGGCTTAGCGCCTCCCTTTGTTTGCACATCTTGATGAGAACGTTTGTCCCATTCCCCGGCTTCCTATTGAACTCCTTAGGAGCAATCGTCTCACTTTCTACCTCCACGACGCCTTGTCCAGACGTCCAGCGCGAGGTCTAGTATCCATTGCGGGGTACTGAGTGTCCATTTCGACGCCGGCGAGACAGCGGCAGTCGCCATCCTTTTTTCGATTCGGCGGACGTGCAGCGGCTGGTCGACGGAGTGAGGTCAGGGGTGGTGTAAGGTGGTGAGCCTGCCACGCCGAGCGCCGGATCGATGTTAACGTTGGATCACGTTCTCTGGAGTTCGCAGAGAGTCGACTGCTCCCGTCGGATGTTGAAAGGAGACACCCTGCCCGCAATGGCGCTTGGAAGAGTGACGTGGCCGTTTGAGTGACGTTGTCATTTGGGCCGTAAGCGCACTCATGAAGAACCAACACCTCCTAGGTAAGAAAGCCTATACTCTGTTTCATACTTAGTCTGCAACGCTGTCAAAGCTACCGGCGCGAGCATGGGCTTGATCTCGTTGATCATTTGCACGCGTTTTCGCGTAAAAAAAGCCATAGGTGAAGCCACGCGCTCGCGCCAATAGCTTTGACAGCGTTGCACGCTATGAAACAGAGTACAAGTGCTGAATTCTCCTGTGTCACTAACGAAAGCCACCTTGGGCAAGAAATTGGAAACGACTACGTCGACAGCGTTCGGCTACGAGTCGTATTCCCACTGATTGGACAGGAGTTCCTACCGAGCGCTGATGCAGCACTCGTCTCCCATCTCTGGCCTAGTGTGACCTTTGATAGTGACGCAGGAAAGTTCAACACTTAGACTTTCTTATCCAGGACGTATTGCAAGAACATGCTGCAGAGATAGTGAGAGCATGATTTAAAAAGAGACGTCAATCTTCCAAGTGTTATTGTGGGCAGGGCTGGCGACGCTCTTCTTAGGCGCAATTTCTAAGTGGGGTGAAAAAGCGCGAAAATTGATTCAATATTTTTTTCAAAATCTTAAAAATTTACTGCTGTCAATATTTCAATTTGAACATGACCTGCTGAAACCAATAATTAAAAAAATAATTAATATATATAAGTTAATTACTGAACTTACCGTGACGATTATCCCCTCATAGAACATCTTCTGAGCCTGATAATTGCATGATCAAGACAGAGCTTGTCTAACTTTCACCCCATATTTTTTTTAATCAGTTCGCATTAAAAGACAAACCTGTATGTTTAAATGCATTGTATGCCCCTTACAAACAATTTCACGCATTCTAACCGTATTTGATATAATTATTGGGCATAATACTATTTTTACAGTGAATTTAAAATAAAATGCCGACGAGATGATTGGGCAGGGTTTCGGCCCATGGAATACGCGATGCAGTGAGCTATTACATGAACTCGAGAATTTTATCAGGTCTTCGGTTATAACCAGGGTTCGAAGTTTTTCGGTTTACACCGATAAAAACCGATAAAAGTACGCCGAATTCATTTTCGGAAATTCGGTGTTAACCGAAAAAGGCCACTTTGACCTTCCAGTCGTACCGCAGAGCCGTGGCGAAAAGGTGAAACGATAGTGTCTATCGAAACGTGTCCGAATGTATGAGATACACGGATGCCATCACGCGTTATGGCTTAATGTGGGCATCATCGATCAGAACGTGAAGTCCAAAATGCCCCATGACTTCGCCATGTACGAGCCAGCTAGTTTTCAAACTCGTTGTAAGGGAGTTAGACTTATTGCAAGCTCTGCAGCCAGGGTTTAGTGAGTACACGAAACATGTTGTGCTCCAAAACGTCGCAGCGTGTCTCTTTTGGCGGTCAGGTCTGATTGATTGGCCGATTGTGGCTCAGGCAGCGCTTCACCTCCTCAGCCTGCCAGTGTCCAGTGTTATGCTCGAAGCTCAGGGTCATATTAACAGGAAAGAAAGAGTGTGGATGAACGAGAACCTGGGAAAGTACATGTGTGTCTACTATAATAAGCTCCAGACTTGGACCTAGTTCAACTACTCTACTCAAACTACTGTAGTTTAACTACTTTTCTGAGTAACTTGGTAACTTTCAATTACAACTTTATTTGGGTAATTAGTACTTTTATTTAACTACGTTTTTTAGGTAACTTCTACTCAAATTACTAAGTACTTTCGAAATCTAGTGCTAATTTTGCTGATCACAAACGTTTGAGCACAGAAGTAAATAAGACGCCGGCAGATGAAGTGGCATTCTCGAACAAGGGGCCCCCTCACATTCCGTTCCTACGCACTTTATAAATTACATGCGTAATTTATATTCTACTCCAATTACTTCTCTCATCGATACTCAGTAACTTAACAATTAACTACCTTTTTTGGGTAATTTGTACATGTCTGATAAGATCACATAATCCTGATGCACAGAAGTTGAAGTTTCATATTTTTTTGGGCATAGGCTTCATATCTGACTTGCCTGTACTTCTTTTTTTATTGTTTCTTTTATAGTTGCACACATTTGCCAAAAGTGTCCATTTCTTTTTCAATCTATCTCTGCTGTTATTCTTTGAGTGATCACAAATACCAGAGCTACAAGGATCACCTGATCCGGTGTCCGTTAATGTTTATTTCATATTCACCAAAAAAAAAAAACGATAAACTTTTGTGCGCATAAATATACACCAAAAAGAACCGAAAATTAAATTTTAAAATAAACACTGAAAAAGTACGTTTAAGTTTGAAAAAATAAAAACCGAAAACGCGAAACCCTAGTTATAACATTTAGTGCCAAAAGCGTAGTATGACACCCTGCAGCTCCACGCAATCTAACCTGGTCATGAGGGTTATCAGCGCGCGTCAAGCTTCATTGCTCATAGCAAGACAAGAACTGAGTCATCATCGGCAGCAAAACTGTGAAGTTTTCAGGGATGTGTTGTGAGTTTGCCAGGTGTCTCCACCATCATTCCCAGACTCAATCATCAACTCGGTCTTCGGGATCTCGAGGCCCATTGAAAACGCTCTCGTTTACTGCAGAGACTATATGAGCTACGAGTGACGGCGGCACTGAAGGTCAAACAAAAACTGGTCATTTATATATATTTTTAGCGACCTCTGTTACTAGGATCCTCGTAGGACACTTACCACTTTGAAATTGTCGATACGCAAGTGAGGATTCTGAATGCTACCAACGCGACGAACAGCATTCCATGCGGCATACAAGAAGTCAGGATTCTTCAGCAATTCTCCAGTGGGCGGTTTTTCTAAAATACAAAATTTAATAATGACAGCTAGGTTAATATGTACATCGTTTCACTGATTACAAATGCACAGCCTAGAATGCGATCTCCTCAGCGCAGCACGGGCGTAAATCTCTTTTCTTTGAGTGTCTCTGATTCGACCGAAACGTCTTGGTACGTATCTACGCAGAAACAATAAGAGAGCGCCTCCGCTAAGCCATGAACTAAGTTTATTTAGACAGTTCTGGGGAAAATACGGCAACCAAGAGCAGCAGAGATTCGTTATCTAATGTTTTGCAGCAAGATGTGTGTATAAGAAAGAAGTGTACAGAAGAGCAGCCACTAGAGCCATGAGTTCTCCCAGTGGTTGTAGCACAAACTGAATGGTAGGTTGAACTACACCTTTTGCCAACACCCCTAGACTAGCAAACAACAATATACCCCCAAACAAAGAGCAGGAGATATGGACAGAAGGCTTAAGTTTACGTTTAACTGGAGTTTTGTAAACTGAAAAAAAAGAAGGGGTGGGTGGGGGAGGCGTACACTCTTAATCTCGTTCCACTTAGGTTCCAATTAGTAACTGGAACTTTTTTCCAAAAACAGTTCCGCTTAACCATAAGAAATTGTTGTCCACATAACTACTAGTTTTTGCAAAACAGTGTTTCAGATAAATTGTGAAGGTGGTATATAAAATAGCGTCTCACATATTGACATCTGTAAAGCTGTTACACATACAGTTGCAAGAATGTTACGTGAAACAGTGTTTCATGTATTGGCATCTGGAACAGCGTTTCATATAAAGCATGTCTGGCATGTTACCGTAACTTTTGTCCAGATATCTCAAGCCAGTCGTGTGAACCTTTGTAGAATATCATTATATCCATCATATGAAGAAAAACAAAACGCTGTAATGAAAATACTTCGGGTCACACAAAATGTTTTCGGTGCTATGGTATTGGCTCTCTTTTAAAGCAGGTCGGATGAAATCGAGAGGTCACAGTATATCACAAAATTAGAGCAACTAGAGCCTTAAGTGTTACCTGCTAAGGCTTCAGGACAAATCTAAAACGACAGAATCACAAACTATTGCGGCAATGGCAGGCTTCTAAAGCGTGCCATTGCTGCATATATGTGATTCTAACAGTGCAATTTTGAATTGGTCATAGCACGCACGATAGAAATAATGAATACAGTTACTCTACATGTATGCAGGATTATGACAGCTCTAGTTTTGTTTTTCCCTGTACTAACAGAAAGTAAGGATGACAGCAGCACAATCTTTGGCGTAAGAAATGTTTCCTTGTGGCGTTTTTGACTGTACGCAATGTCTGCAGCAACATTCTTGATGGTCCGCAAGTCCCGGTTAAAGACATGCAGAAATTTACTTTGCTCCTTGTAGTCACTGACAACTTCCCTGAGTGAGTAAATGCACATGTAAAATAAACACCATAGCACCAATCCATGCCTCCGTGAGTGTCAGACACATTATTAGCTGTTCTATTCATGTGCCTAACAGCTCAGGTGAAACTTAATAACAGTCGTTAGAGCTTCGAGATGAGCCTTCCGAGGTTTCGGCTCCAAACTTGGCAATCAAATCGAGACAACTTTTGCGGTGTCGCAACTCGACGGTCTTGCGGTATCAGAAAACGTTTCAAACACTATGTCATCGGTTGGTGCTCCGAAACGCTGCAGTATGAGTATATAAAGAACCGTCTAGATAAGTTTCTACAAATATATCTGATCAAAATCGGAATGCAACATGTCGGATCTAGTACGAATCTGAAATTGGGCGTGAGCAAATATTACATTTAATCTGAGCAGTCGATTTTTCAGTAGACTCAACTTTTGTCTGCCTAACTTAAAATCCAGTGTCAATTAGCCATTTTAATTCGTTCTCATCTGCGTCCAGGACTCCATACCGAAGCTGGCCCTCGGCTCCAGTGATAGATTATACTAAATTCATCGTCGCAATCGAATCAAACTGGTGATGCAGGCTAGTTTGTACATCTTTACAACTTGGTAATGCAGTGCGTAATAATAAGGAGAGAGAATGCTGTAGATAAATCTAGCGCTGTGCTCGCCCCGTCTACTGCCTCCTATGTCCTCGCTTTTTTCTCACTGTATAACCATGTCGCGATCGAAACAAAAAATTCAGTAGGAAGTGCTCTAATACACAATACCGACTTGAACGGGGCTGTTCGATATTGCAAACGAAATTAAATGAGAAGTCGGCACTACATTTGGGCTCATGAAATACACGCGCAACACTTTTCTCGTGACGAGACTTTTATTAATACCGAGAACACTTTTTTCCAGGCTTTGAAATTTCTGAAATGAGCATATCAAGAGTAAAATGATAAAAAGAAAGGGACACAAGGTTTTTTTTTTTAATTAGCCACAAGTTTATCATCTGGTTATACAAAGCGCCCAACCAATGCCGCATAAAACTGCGCCAAACTGAAACTTCCCTGTTGAACGCAAATAAAACTGCGAAACACGCTTGAACTCTTTTCACCTGGAATAAGAAACCATCTCAAGTAGCACGGGCAGTCGGCCCGACCCGGGGCTTCCTGGCATCTGAACGGAAAAGTTGGGCCGGGAAGGCCGAGCGGCGGCCGACCGCTCCCCGACAACATAAGAAAGCGAGAGAGCGTAGGAAAGGGCAGGCTCCGGCCACTGATCTCAATGACATTTGGTGGATCGTGCTTCCCCGCTTGTTCGCTGCAGCGCGAGTGAAGCCACCGGAAGGCCATCTTGCTCGTAGACGATTTGCGGTTTTGCTAGCCTTTTGCTGCGGTTTTCCAGCGTGGTATGGACTCGTTTTTTACTCGTTCGTCGTCATTCGCCGAAGAAGTTTTTTAAGAGTCTGTGTAACCGTTGAGACTTTCCGTTGTGAACACGTGGAAAATTTAACGAAAGCGCAGTGCCGCAGGAAAAAGTCACAACTAGGGTGACCACCCGTCCCGCGACTCGCGGGACTGACCCGCATTGAGGGCTCGTGTCCCGCGTCCCGCAAGAAATATCAAAATCTTCAAAATGTCCCGCATTTCATACTGTAGTAAAATTCACTCTCACACTCATGGCGCTGCCGAACAACGGGGCACGGGAAGCGCGGAGGTCGCTGATAATCGTGCGAGTCGCAATGGTACACCATTTTCTATCCAAGCATTGTGAGAAGCAACCGTCGTTCTTGCAGGAGAACCGACGCGCATGCTCCGTTGTGCCTCTCCCCTTGGTGGCAAAATATTGTAAAAAAAGTTGCTCTCCAAAAGTGTAAATATAAAACATTGTAATTATCTTGAAATCGCTGCGTCAATGCGGAGGGTGCTGTGGATTTTTGTTTTAGTGAAGGCAACCATACAAGGCAAAAGGCCTACAACTCGCAACGGTCGAAAAAGAATATAATCTTAAAAATGTTGATAAACAATGTTGATAAAAGTAAGCGCTGACAGGAAACAATAACCCGAAAGCGATTTACGGTATCTTATTTCCACTTGATGCATTGAGTTCTGCTACAGCCGATTGTTATATTTTCAACTTCGACACATTAATAACATATTTTGCATAAAAGATATATCACTGGGAGTGAAACTTAATTGAGGTTAATTGCCGGAATACGATTAGCAGGTGTATAAACAGCACAGGATATTAAATGTGTTAACAGAGCCTGGGTTCGCGGTGAGTGTGTTAATAAATTTCCTCTATAACCCCCCCCCCCCCCCCCCCCCCCCCCTTTGCGCGTCCCGCATTTCGCTAGCGGGAAGGTGTTCACCCTAGTCACAACTCGTCGAAAGCAAGTTTTGCAGTTCTAGAGGCGGGGTACAAGCTTCCTTGGCACTCCAAAGTGCTGCGTCCTGTGCCTTCAAAAGTTTGGATACCGATCAAGAATCGACGCCGTGTAGATGTGTTTTGCGAGTGCAATGTGCGTGAAGCCGTAAGTAAAGGCACAACTCGTCGAAAGCAAGTGTCACCGGTCTCGCGGCTTGATCAAAGCTTCCTTTGCGCGCCGAAGTGCAGCGTCTCTGTGCCTTCGCACGCTTGGATACCGATCAAGATTCCTCCGGCGCCTCTGGGGAGCGTTTTACTTTCACTCTGACTCTATTTTTAACTTGCGGCACTCGCTGTCCAGAAATCATTGAGCTTGATCCTGTGTCCAGTGGCGACGGAAGAGGGGGGAAAGTAAACAGCATCAGCGGCGCGTCTTTTTTTTTTTTTTTTACTAGACACTTATGGCAATTAAATCAGTAGTACAAAATATTTATTTTTTTTTTTTGGGGGGGGGGGGATTTTTTCTGTTGCACTGCACTTCCGTAAAAATGTCCAAGTGTTCTCAACTGCAAGTCTCAACCCTTACAGAGCGTCTTGAAAATCTTCTTCGAGGAATGACGACGAACGAGTGGAAAACGTGCCTTCAGCACGCAGGCTGCCGCCAGCCTCAGTAACGCTAGCAAAACCGCAAATCCTCTACGAGCAAGATGACCGTGCGGTGGCTTCACTCGCGGGAGCGGTAAGCGCGATCCAGCAATAGTCATGGAGATCAGTAGCTCCGGCGCTACCGAATGTATCCCAGCCGCTGCCGATGGCTTCCCAACTATCACAAGAGCCGCAAACTAGGGGACGGGCGTTCTGCGTTCGCTCTTGCTAAAGACGAAGCAGTGCATTCAGAAACGACAGAGAAAAAGAAAGAGCACCAGTTGTCCGCTTGCTTGCTTGCTGTTCTCTTTTTCTCCGTCTTGTTGATTTTCATTTACTTCGTTTCTTTTTGCGTTTTTTTTTTTTTTTTTAATTTCCAGGTCTTCACGAGAATCCTGGGTTCTCATCCTGAAAAACTTTCGCCGTCTCCAGACGAATGACTGAGGAGGAGCCGTGGCGTCGACGCCAGCTGGCTGGAGCCTGAACCCCGACAGCAGCAAGTCGTTTTCTTTTTCTGCTTTTCTTTTTGTTGAGAAAAAAGGCTTACATGATACTCGATACCATTCCTACTGCGCATGCGCGAGTTACCTTTGGCGGGATCACTCGTAACA